TGTTGGGGATGTACCAGGTGTTCCGTCTTGACCTGGCGTTCCGTCTTGTCCTGGTGTTCCATGTTGACCTGGTGTTCCGTTCGTCCCTGGAGATCCTTTGGTTCCTGGTGTTCCCTTTGTTCCCGGTGTACCTTGTTGACCCGGTTTCTTTGTAACAGGTGTTTTGGTAGTATAAGGTCTTTGGGTTCTTATGGTTTTGTTTGTTATGGGTTTTTTTGTGGTTGTTACTTTGCCACCCTTTGATACGTGCTTTTCTAAACAACCGATTGCTTTTAATATGTCTGTAAAAAGGTTAAAGTGGTAAATGAAAAAAAGAAGATGTTTTTAAACTGAGTAGCGTAAATTCGAAACTGCATTCCCATATTAAAAATGTACACTAACATTTATAACTAGCTTTTGTAAGCGACGCCGTCGGAAATACTTTCGAAAAACACATTTTTAGAAACACTGTTGCCTGCGACTTAGTGTTTATCGAAGTACTTAGTTTCCAAGTACTTTAGTTAATATAAATTACAGAAATTACATATCCCACGGGAACATAACATTTTTCGGATATCCCATGGGGTCCAGACTTTATATATGTTCTTTTCAAAAATATATGTTGAACAGTTGCAGTCTTATCGAGTATACATTAAAAAAAATCAAAACTAATTTATGTTGAGGATAGTCTAAACACAAACTTTTGTTTTTTATTTTTTAATTCCTCACGAAGTTTTTTAAGAAGAAAGCTAGTTCGCTTTATTCTTAAAAAAAGGGGGTACAAAAGGTTTTGCGTCTCATAAATTTATTTACCTGTCTCTTTCGTCACGATTTTCAACTTTTTAAGCGAATCTAAGAAACCTGAAAATAATAATAATTTTTATAAATAGTAAAATATTTAAAATTTGAATCTTAGGCGTACTAAAATAGGATTATTCCCAACCGTCACCACGCTCTATCCCCAGATGGGGACAGATGAAAATAAAATGCTTACTTTACCTTTCATTCCCAATATCACTAATTAGGTGACAGATGGAACCGTTAAAAAACAAGTTCCAACCAATCATCGCAAAAGGTGGGACGGATGAAAATTTTTGTTCGCATCTGTCCCCTCACGGGGACAGGCGTAATGACGGTTAGGTATAATGCCTAGAAGGTCAAAATTTAAATGTTCTAATGACATCAAAAGCGCTTGTCGTTGGTTGAAAATTATTGGAGCAACCAACCTTGCTTTTATTAGCTTGTAGTTTTTGCCTCTTTCTAGATTTATTCACCATCTAAGGTAAATAGTTTGAAAATAACCTAAAGCGTGTCAAAACTTTATGTTTTTTTTGAAATAAATATACTTTGACATCCCACATAAAGTTTACACTCTTTTATTATTAAAAAGAATAATAAATAAATATGTGTACGCTTTATGTTTAACTAGCTGTTCCCGTGCGGCTTCATCCGCATGAAAATATGAAAATTTTATTTTTTTATTTACAATTGTCAAATTACTTGATGTTTAACTTATGGTCTCTTTCCCACATTAGGGTCTTTATCTAAAATATTTACCCTCTAAGTTTAACGACGTGAAAATATATAGCCTAAAGCGTGACGTAAGTGTAGGACTTTTTACTAAAAAAAGAGTTATTCAAAAATATGGTGTAATTGCTGACATCTTAGGCAACAAAGAAGTGTGTGTTTACGCTTTATTATAATAGTATAGATATAGATTTTACCTGAAGTATTTGTGTATTTTTCCAAATTGAGTATGACCTCGTCTAATTCTGTAAAGAATAAATAACGGATAAAAATACACATAAAACACATATAACAACATAATTTAATATAAAAAAGTGTTTAAAAACATATACATTTAAAAATATAGACGAGTCATGAACAACATTTTTTCACCGGTAACTTCTTTGTAAGGTACTATGTTGTCAAGGTAAGTACCAAGTCATGTAATGACATTTTAAAAAAGTATAAAATCAGCTTATTAGGCGTTTATTTTAATATACTTAAATACTTACGGAAACGTTTGCTTATTGTAATCAAAACCTCGAAGAATTCGATGATATCTGAAAAAAAAACAGCACATAAGTAGCAGGTAAAACAAACATTATTTTAAAAAATACATATAATTGCTCGCGACTTCGTCCTTGTGAAATTAAAATTTAATCTATGCTACTCACAGATAAATTACCTTTCTATAGTGAAAGAATTTTTCAAATCGGCCCAGTAGTTTTTGAGTTATTTCAATACATATAATAATACAAATCTTTCCTCTTTATAATATAAGTATAGACTAAGTAAAATCTTACCAATTTCTACGATTATGTAGATCACACGAATACATTCGAAAAGACCTAAAAAGAAAGTAAAATTAGCAAACAAATATTATTTAAAAAAAACGATGGCTTTTTTTAACTTAGGGATCTTTGAAAGATTACTCAGCATTTTGGGGGGAAAGATGGATATGTCTTTTCTCTTCCCACTCTCTTTTTATTTTATTTGAAGGATTTTACGCAAAAACGGAATATACCAAATGCATGTCTTTGAGGTTGTCGCACACTAACCACTTTTCAATCGACTTCCAACTTGAGTTTAAAAATCGTCCCTTTTTTTTGTATTTTTGTTACTGACTTTCAGAACCTGATTGTCTGATTTATTTCTTTACAAGCATAATTTTTATAATAAAATACTTGATATTTTTAATTTTGGACAATATTGGACCAAAACATCCATTACAAGTCATATACAAAAAAATGCGAACGAATTGAAAACGTCCTTTTGGAAGTCGGTTAACTTATAAAGTCAAAATCAAAAAACACTTAAAAAAAATATATAGATTAGAAACAAAGCTTTTTCACTGGTAACTTCTTTGAAAGGTATAGTACCTTTCATATTTAGTCTCCTTGTATTGACGTTATAATTTTTTTTTTACATTTTACATTATAATAAACTTCATATTTTGTTATAAAACAAACTGTACAGTATCACAAAATAAAACCAACATTAAAATATTATTTAATGACATCTATCGGCAATTAATTTAAATAAGACATGTGGTTTCAAGGATATATCAATAGATGGCGTTAGTTACGTATAAAATCTCAAGTGAACTGTCAACTGTGGCCTCCATGTTTTTAAAATTTCTTTGAAAGGAATACTGAAACATTTAATGAAAGTTTTATTTTCTTTTTTTATTATATAAGTTGGCAAACGAGCAAGCCTGAATCTACTGAAATGGAAAGCGACCGCTGCATAACCATCTTCTATTACAGCGCTGCCTACCCTTCATTGACAGAGACGCACATAAAGAGGACATTTCCCTTTCCTATACATCTCAACTATCAAATCTACTTTTCTTTCCCTTTCCTATCAAGAAAAGGGTGGACAGGAAAAGGGACTAAAATCTCCGGTGGGATATTTTCAATACTTACGTTTTTTACTTGTTGTTTTTAAGAGAATAGTACTTGCTGCTCGAATATTAGTCGAGTTTGTAAACTTCATTATTGTTTCAATAAATATAACAAAGTTTACTTTAGTGTAAATTGTTAACTGCTCGAATATTACGAAAATATCTGAAAAAAAAACAATATACTTTAAATTAGCTGTTGCTTTCGACTTAATCTGCGTAAAATTAAAAAAATAATAAAAAACACAGCATATATGTGACAACGTAGCTTTTTAATGGTGAAAGAATTTTTGAAATTGTCCCAGTAGTTTTTGAGTTATTTCAATACTTAGAAAATATAAAAAATAAAAAATCTTTTCTCTTTATAATATTAGTATAAATATGACATATACAGAAACGTTAATTTTAAATATTTCTAATGTTATAAATATATTTGTCTGCAATACGCGAAGTCGGGGTAGTTCGCTAGTTTATGATATAAAACGTATTGGGTATCTTAATTGAACTAGCAATTATGGTTTGAGACATTATCTTACCCGTTTCCGATGTTAATGAAATTAAGACCTCCCATGCGCTTTGGATTGCTGCAAACAGAATAATCAGAGTTAATTAAAATAAAAAAAATATACATTTTTTTATATGAAAATTTAACATTGGTAGTGCCCGCTTTAACATGTTAGCACTGCAGGGCTCTACAATACCACGACCACACAGACAGGCGTGAAGTGGAAGCAATTCCGTGTACAGTCTGATGAGTGTGGTGCCGGAGGACTAATTTAAGTCCCTTTCTCTTTACCACCCTTTTCTTATAGAGGATGGGAAGGGGAAGTAGATTTGACGGAGGAGATACATAGGAAGAGGAAATATCCTCTTTATGTGCGTCTCCTCCTCCGTCAGATAAGAATAAGCAACGCATCTGCAGTTGCAGATGTCTATGGGCAGTCGCTTCGCCATTTTGGCGGATTCAAGTGACCGCTTGCTCGTTTGCCATCTTATGTTATAAAAAAAATCGTCAAAATTACTACCAAACACTACTTTATATATTTTTTTAATCTATTTTCAAAAGAAGTCGAAGTCTTGCTATTGGTTTGTAGTTTTTGTCTCTTTCTCGCAGAGCATTTTTTATCCAATTTACTTACCCCCTATTTTATTAATAATTATATGAGTATAGAATTGATAATTCTGCCAACTTACTTTCTGTTGCCGTGTACGTGATGATTTTTCTGAAGAAACCAATAATATCGTTGTATTTAGATTTTATTCTGATATCCCGTAAAATTTCCAACACCGTCACTGTAATACAAATCAAAATAAATTAAAAACTAACCTAGAAAGTAAAATGAGTAGAGATTAGGGTTGTAACGGAGGCCATTTTAACGGAAGCGGAAGCGAACGGAGTTATCATTTCTTGCGGATGCGAAAGTGGAGTTCATACATCATACATTTTACATTTCTCTTTATAGTTAAATAACTAGTATAAATAATGTAATGATTTACGAGAGGAAATATCATCATCAGCTCCTTATCCTACTCGCGTAGCGCAACAGCTTTTTGTCCTCCACATAACTCTATCATACGTCATCTCAGTCATCACTCCCTTCATCATGTCACCTTTTACACAATCCATCCATCTCTTTCTAGCTCTACCTTTACCGATGTACCTCCACACTCATAACGTTCTTGTAACAAAACATACAAGAAACAAATATAATGTTCGTAAGTTACGGGTTTCTTACCACGATTGAATTAGCTCCCGATATTTCGGCACAGTTGCATGCGCCATGATCACGGGCTGACTGAAGTGATGCGGTAGTGTGAAAAAAAACCGTATCTTACGAACATTTGTAAAAACCACGACAGTTTAAAGTTATACATACAAGAAACAATTTAAAACTCAGCTATTGGATAACTTTGCAGCCGAATAGATATCCTACGGTTCCGTTGTAACTTTGGTTTTTTATTTTTTTTTGTTATTTGAGAAAATAATATTGTAAAAGAAATAATTCAGCATATATTTAAGCAAGATAATGTATCATCATTAAAGGTATCTTTCGCTAAAAAACTTTTGGTAGTTTGGCAAAGTTATTTATATTATGTACATTTTAAGTTACTAGTTTCCGCCCGAGACTCCGCCCGCGTGGAAAAAAAGTGAGTAACCTATGTGTTCTTCCAGACTATCCTCTACATATAGATGTATAGACCAAATTTTTGGTTGACTATAGATGTATAGACCAAATTTTTGGTTGACTATAGATTATGACTGAATAGATGACTAAGACTATATATTGAATAGATGACTATGACTATATATTGAATACATGACTATGACTATATATTGAATAGATGACTATGACTATATATTGAATAGATGACTATGACTATATATTGAATACATGACTAAGACTGTATATTGAATAGATGACTATGACTATATATTGAATAGACCAAAATTGGTATAGACCAAATTTCATCGAAATCCGTTCAGTCGTTTAGCTACAAACTAACAAACATCCATCTAAACATTCGCATTTATAATATTAAAAAGATTAAAAAAAACTTACTCTTCTTGGTGGTAAATTTCTTTATGATGACACAAACTTCACCAATATGCTTGGTCTTTGTTAATTCAATAAGAACTAAGAGGAAAGTGATCGGATCTTTCTTAGTCGTGTTCACGACTTCGTTAACTTTACGTAGGAATGTTATCAGATCTGAAAACAACCAAGAAAATAATAAAAAAAATATTTACTGGAAAAAAAAAAAGCAAAAAAAATGGCCAGTATTGAGTACTTCCTTTTGGGAAGTCGTTCAAAAAAGATAATATAGATTTTACAATCTTTAATGTGTATTCATATTTTATTTAAAAACATGGATAGAATCTATAACTGTCTATACTATCAACAGTGGTAGTGCCCGCTTTAACATCTTAGCACTGCAGGGCTCTACAATACCACGACCACACAGAAGACAGGCGTCAAATGGAAGCAATTCCGTGTACAGTCTGATGAGTGTGGTGCCGGAGGACTAATTTAAGTCCCTTTCTCTTTACCACCCTTTTCTTATAAGGAGAGGGTGGGAACGGGAAGT